GGGACCAGTGACTCATAGAGGTTCACTTACAGTGAGTCCGCTGCCCATCTCCAGACAAGGTGCCTAGGCTTTGGGTAACTTACACGTAAACATGAAAAGCCAGTTGGTTAATATTAAATCCTACTCAGAGCTGCTTCATAGTGGTCTCCATCACCATATTCCTTTTATTTCTTTCTCTTTTGAAATTGCTCTGGCTAATGTTTCCAGAACTATCTTGAACAGGAGTGGTGGTAGTGGGCATCCTTGTCCTTGATTTTAGAGTGAAAGCTTTCCATTTTTGACCAGTTAGTATGATATTGGTTGTTGGTTTGTCACTGATGACTGGTCTCTATGTTTTGATTTTGAGAGTTTAATGCATTGACATTTAAAATAATTGCTCAGGTTGGGCATGTAGCTTAGTGGTAGAATGCTTGCCTAGTATGTGTGAGGCCCTGAGTTTGAATACCAGGACTGAAAAAAAATTTCTGATAAGGAAGGAGTTCTGTCATTTTTCTAGTTGTTTCTGTATATATTATACCCCCCTATATCCTCTGTCACTGTCTTCTTTTGGGTTTAACTTTTGTGGTAAGCTATTTTGAGCCCCTTATTTCCATTTGTGTCTATTATACATATTTTTTATGGTTACCATGGGTGATTACATTTAACATTTTAATACCAACTCAAACAGTATATACTACTCTACCCTTATGTAGTACATGCTCATATTTTGGTTGTTGCTGTTGTCATATTTCTCTACACTGTTTGCCACCCCACTGCCTTTTGGCTTCTCTCGTTTCTGATGAGAAATTGGCTGTTAATTTTACTGTTGATCCTTGTGTATAATCATTTGCTTCTTTCAGGGTCTTTTTTGTCTTTTGACAGCTTAGTTATATTGTATCTTGGCATGGGTCTCTTTGGAGCTTATCCTACTTGGAGTATGTTGAGCTTGGAGTGTTTTGGTTTTGTAATCATGCTTTTAATCAAATTTGGGGATATTTTGGCTAGTAATTTTTCAAATACTCCTTATTCCCCTTTTTCTTCTAGCATTTCCCCTAATATATGTGTTGGTCTGCTTGATGGAATTCCATAAGTTATACAGACTCTGTTTATTTTTTTCTTTCTATTCTTTAAACTTGATTAATTCCAATTGTCCTATTTTTGAGTGTCCTTATTCTTTCTTTGCCTCCTTGAATCTACTGTTGAACCCTGCTAGGAAATTTTTCATTTCAGTTATTGTCCTTTCTAGTTTCAGAATTTCTGTATATCTCGGCTGAGTCCCAGGGGTAATATTGTGGCATTAACACATGTTAATAAGGTTTCTGCACTTTGGCGAGGCCGTAACTCCTATTTCCCTCTGCACTTTTGTCCTCGCCCTAGTAGCAGTTACAACTGTCAAGCCTTAGTGATCTCCTGCATCTGGACAGCCCAGCCCTCACCACAGACTTACAAAGGACTGCTCTGCCCCACTGGGCTTCCTGTCTGCCTGGCTTTATTCTCATGGATACCCCACTTCCAGTTTCTAGCTGCTTTAGCCGTTTCGAACGCTGATCTCTGCACACCGGGCTCTGTGGTAATGTCGTTGGCTGTTTGGACTTCAGTTCTTTGAAACATAGTTGGGAAATTATTCCTACTCATAGAGCTAGGTAGATGGGTAATTGTGAAACTGCTTCACTTGTTGTTTTTTTTTTTTTTTTTTATGAATTTTCTTTCTTTCAGAGATCACAGCCCTACACTGC